AGAGGGAGAGGGAGAGGGAGAGGGAGAGGGAGAGGGAGAGGGAGAGGAGAGGAGAGGAAGGAGAGAGAGAGAGAGAGAAAGGACCACAACAACTACTATTACAACTGCTAGCTGGTACTGCTACTGCTATACGGCTACTGCTACTGCTACAGCTACTACAACTACTACTACGACGACGACTACTAGTACTAGTACTACTACCACTACTGCTACTACTACTACTTCTTCTACTACTACTACTACCACGACGACTACTACGACGACTACTACTACGACGGAAACGCCCGTGAGACAACATTGGATTCAAGAGACGATCGGTCTGACCAGAAGTGTTTCGAGGCGGAAAATATTTCCCTGGTTTGCCCCTTAGGCGCGCTTCGGTTCACCCGCATGGCTCAGGTAGTTGGTCGAGAAAGGGCAGAATGATGCAGAAAAAAACCAATTCCATCATACCTGGACCCAACTTTGAGTATACCTTGGAAAATTGGAAAATGGAACATGACCCCATAAAAGCAAGTACTTGACTTGCACCCATTTTATGAAGTATTTTGAGACTCCAGATATATATATAAAATTATATATATACATATTGTAGTTGTTTTTGTTTGTATTTCCTATGTATTTCTATGTATTTTCCACTTGACATTTCCATGTATTTCCTCATTTTTGGTTGGGTTTTGATTTCATTGACATTCTTTCGATGCGGTGATGTCCAAAGGCTGCAATGAAGTTTGGACCAATTGTTTGCCCTTCCGAATGGGGCCCTTTTGGACCCTTCCAAAGGGTTTGGACATTGGATATGACATATGGTAATTAGCATCTCTGGGTATTCAAACTCTTTCCACCACGAAGGGATATGTATGACAGAAAAACTGTATGAAGGTATATGTGTATTTCACGGTGCTCCCCTGCACTCCATTGAGATGCTATGACGTTGCGTGTTGATTCTTAAGGCCAACTTTACACTTCATTGATCAAACGCCGGACTTGACGAGCATCGTTTTGACATTTACGGTGCTGCCTGATATTGGTTGAAGGTATGTATGAACACATCTCTTCCAGGAACCATGTGAGAGACGCTTCGAGCGGGTCTCGTGCAACCTAGTTATGGACTCGTTTTGCGGTTATGGGTTTAGTTCTATGCAATTTTCATGTGGTGTTTTTCCTCCCAAGACGTTGAAAGAAAGGGAACCATGGAAGTCTGGACCTGTTTGTTTTTCTTTCTGGGAAATCCATGCGCTCGAGAGTCATTCGTGGTGATTTGAGTTGAAAAAGCGTTCGTGGTGGAAAGAGTTTGAATACCCAGAGATGCTAATTACCATATATACCTTCATACATAGTTTTTCTGTCAAACACCTGGAAGTATGCTACGAAGTATGCCACGAGTATCCAAAGAAGTATGCCACGATCCTAGACGTATTCCACAAGTATGTGGTATATCTTTTTCGCCCGAGTGGTAGTGTTTCCTTTTTTTTTTCATCCGAAGTGGATTCTTTTCGGAATTCCATCGACGGAGACGGCAAGCGGCAGTGGCAGCTGTCAGGAGTGGCGAAAGGCTGTCCACCCTTTCTGACCTCAGTGCCAGCCTTGGTTTTTGGTCGCGCACACTTGAGCAATGCTTTGTGTTCCTGTTAAATGCCAGAAGGTGTTTCTTTGTGTTCCTGTTTTACACTATGTTTTGGTCCGCAAAAGCATTTCTGCAGAGCCTTTGGACCTGCAAAAGCTCATGCAAACAGAAACAGCCCGTGCACACGAATCTAGGGCATCATGTGCAGCACAAGGCAATATTTTAATATATTTTACATATTATATATAGCATGTTCATGAGGTCCAGATCATGTGTGCGGTGTGTTGTTCTCGGAATCCCCACAATTTCGCCCCAGAAAAAGAACAAATACTTGCGCTGTTTTGTTAGGCCCATCCTTTTCCGGTTTGGCATTTGGCTTCCATGTATCGTGCAACTTGCCTTTTTCACCCCAAGATCGATCTCGTTTGATGTTTTTAAGGCTTTCACTAAGGCACCTTGGTAGAATGTGAGGCCTGCCTAACATCAGTTGCATCCACGAAAGCTGGTGGAAGCTTCCATGAATGCTCCCTTTATATTTGTATAGTCCCCACGCAACAAAGAACCAAGTCCTCACATGAAAAGGACTATATACTCTGAGAAACCACAACTGTTGCACTTCATTCATTCTCTTTGAACATCTAGGTCGATAAACTACACCCTGAAGTCATTCTGGAAGTGGAACCTGGCCCCTGAAATGACCATATTCTTCTACAAACATGTGGTTATCCACTTCCATGTTAGTGACTTGGAGTGCTATACTTTTTGCATGATACCACAGTATATATACTAAAGCCCAAACCACACCATTCTTTTTTGCTATTTCAATTGGCATTCAAGGGATTTGCCTGGACAGCCCTCCACCCAGCGTTGAGATTTTGGATTTGTCAAGGACACTGGAAGTCTCCCACGAGGATGTGAACTCGGCCTCCTTTCAGGCGGCAGAGCTCCCGTGTTTTCCACAATATCCAAGATAGACATGAGAGACCCAATAGTAGACCCAATGTCATGTTAGACCCGAAGGATGTCATGTCATGTTCCTCCCACATTTTCCACCCACTCTTTCAAGCACTTTTGAGCTTCCGGCTCCGGGGCGCTTTCGTCGGGGCCGACCAAACACCAGCCCTCCGGAGGCTTCGACCCTGCAATGGCCGAGGCGGCACGGGGGTGGGGGTGGTGCAATCCACGCACTCCACACGACCGATGATGGAACTGTCTTATTTACCACCCCATTCACATCCATTCATCATCATTCATCCATATTTCAATCAACCACCCCGATCGGATCCCCAAGGTATATAAATCTTCCAAAACTTCCACGACGACTCGACTGTGTTGTGCCTCAGAATGGGTCAGATGATGTCAGATGTCGTCCAGGACTCTCAGGGCTCTCTTTTCCTGCCGAAGCGTCCGACCGTGACCCTCGGCGACCAGGCGGGCGGACCGGACCACGGACCGATGCAACGTCCCCGTGCCGCGCGAGCGCGAGAAACACATGGAAAAAGCTGCGGAACATGTGGAGGGGTAGGCCTAGCCGACCCAGTTCTGGCTGCACCGCACGTGCGGGTTTTCGTTCTCTCTAAGGGCTTGCTTGGTGCCCAGCTCGCGTTGAGATTGCTCGAGCCTCAGTCACACATAGTCACTCCAAGGGAAGGCAACAGGCGCAACCAGGGAACCCTCCATTTCTCAGTCATTTTGGAGCACTCCATTTTGTCCTTGTTGCATTTTTGGTGTTTCTTCATTCCATGTGATAATGTGAGAGGTCTATTCCCATCTATTCCCCATCTACATCTTGCCATTTTGATCACCCTTTTCATAAGTCAAGGGGCGGTTTCGGAGGGCGGAGGAGCTGGTGCGGAGTTCGTGTCCCAAAAGCACCTTAGCTGGTGTGTCAGAAATCTGGGCAGTTCTTCCTTCAACACCAAGGGCCTTCGGTGGCACTTGGGAGCACTGCTGGGAAGTACATTGAAATTCCAAACAAACACAGTGGGACGACACCCCCTGGCCCAATATGACGCTCTATTTTCCAGCCTTGCCTGATTTGCCTAGAAACACCTCCCTGCTTTTGAACGCACAGAAGCTTGCGGATTCCAGTGCTTATCGCTCCAAACCTCCCAAACCTCCCTGCATTCAAAACCCTGGGTGACTTCCGTCCAGGTTGGACCTCGCCGGTGACAGCGGCTCGGCACTTGATCCGCTGTGCCAGAGGTAGTACCATGCGATGCTGCAGCGCCACACGTCGTGGTCCCACATAAGGCTTGGCAGCCGATGCTTGGGCTCTTGACAAGCAGGGGTGCCAGTCCTAGGTTTTTTTTTTTTCTGATGAGAGGTGTATCGAATTGAGGAGCTCTTGATTGATTTGCACGGAGAGCCAAGTGTAAGTAAGTGCCCCAACGATACAACTCGTCACCGGCAGATTCTGTGTGGTTTCGAAGCTTCAACAAAAACAGCTGGCAGGCAGGGTGCGGATGCTGGTGTTACCCCAAGTCGACTTAACTGACTGTGCATATTATCCGAGGCCGAAGCATTTGGGCACCTGGAGATTCCCTCCAACGCATCGCTGGACAGCTCTTTGTCACGTGTGGTTTCTTAGGTTCCGAAAAAGGACGGGCGGGCGCCATCCTGCGCCATGGTGCTGTTCTTTTCTGAACGCCAAGGAATGGGACCCAAATTGACATGTCCAGACTTGGCAACGATCCACTACATACCTTTTCATCTGTTATAGAATTTAATGTGTATTAATTAATATAAAATATGAATATCTTAAATTTGACACATGTTCTTTTCTGAGACAGGTCGTAAGTTTGTGCAACACCACCGTGGACCTCATGAGAAGGCTCTTGATTGAGAATGAAAGAAGCATGAGAGAACCTAAGCAAAGAAGAGAACAACTGAGAGAACCCTTTATAAGGACTCACTTCTGCTTTTAGAGTCCTGACAATGTCTGCTGCAAAGGCCCATGGCCGGATCTTTGTTCTGGGTGCTCAGGCAGGCGGACGGAATCCAACCCCGGCGAATGGGCAACACGTCAAGTGCTCCAAGCAATCACTATGAGGAAACGACGTGTCGCGACTTCTTTTTGCAGTGAATCTCAACTTCAGTGCACAATTAGTTTTTTTAGTCCAGAAGGCTGTGCCAGTGCACTTGTGTTTGAGTCTAGTGAGTGCGGATTGTTTTTTGCATATATATTGTACTTTGAAGTTCTAGGTTGAACCGGGCTGTGGGCCCAGAACCACGTCACTGGATCTTCAAGCTTGCTATGATGGTACGGTATATAGATGATATAAATATATTATAGGATGCACGCGAGGTCTCCAATTTCAAGACAGACCTTGATTTCAAGACTTTTGCGGTGAAGCAGGCAGAAGCCCTTGTTTCAATCCGTGGAACAGGGTCTAACAATTGGTTAAACATGTTAAAACAATAACATGTTAAACCATGTACCACGTCGCCTCTTAAAACTCCCCTCATCTTCCAGGAGTCACATCCTGTCGGGCTTCACGAGCCGTCCCGTCTCACACCGAAGACCGTCTTCGGGGCCCCGAACGGGGTTGGGCGCACCGCGTGGTCGCGGGGCAACGGGGTGCCCAGCCTCGGATGGCTCCAGCGGACTCCAGGCGGGCGGCAGCGAGCTTTGGAGCTTTCTGATGCCGGACGGGAGAAAGGCCGAGTCGGGGCAGAACGGCGTCGGTGTAGCCCCTTGGTGCAACGGCGGACGGCGAGCGGGCGTGGTGGATCGAGTTGGTGTGGCCCCTTCTTCGTTTTTTTTTTGGGGGCTCTGGGGAAGTGATAAAATTGAATGGATTGGGGGGGGAGTGAGTCCTTCTTCGGGCATCTTCGGGGTTGATCTGAAGCCCGCGCCTTCGCCCGGCCCAGGCCTGAAAGGATCGTGGTGTGAGCGTGGTGTGATCGAGGTGACGTACGACGAACGAGAGGAAGAAGAGATGAGATGAGGATGTGAAGTCGAGATGCAAACTGCTGATGTCAGACTCGGAAAACGGGTGCATGTGACATGCAAGGGAGTCTCGGAAAAAGAAACATTCCGAGTCTGCTGAATTGTTGGGTTGAATTTGCAGAGTTCACAATGTTGTGGGATTGTCTCAGACATCCAGAAGTGAATAATTATGAATGGCACCAGTGGTTCGTACCCCAAATGGTGCTGCCAGCTCGGTTTTCTGGCAGTGCTTGTTCAAAGTGTTTCACTCGCTGACAGCAGTATACAGCAGTCAGTTGCGCTAATATGCCGGACATTTGGACGGTTCGAGAGCTGGGCGGTGTCTTCTAATTAGTGACATCGTGCTTGCAGCAGGTATGGAAAACTGTCCAAGTGTCAGTGTGATCAGATAACGAGCAGCTCCCTGCAGTCTTTGGGAGAAAATGAAGCTCTGTGGCAGCATGACGACCGCATCTATGCGTTCCAGGTTGAGTAGTTGATCTCACTCATGTGCTTTGTTGAGTTAAATATGAGTTTCAGTCATCCTGAAGCTGATAGGGAACAGGTCAGATTTTCGGATTAGATATGATTAGACAATAATAATATGTAAATTATATCTACTCCAGGATGGTTGTAGAGCAAGCCAATACTGCCCACGTATCATCTTCAGCCCACGCCGCCTTCAGTTGCTCGGATCAATTTTGGGCCACCTGGGCTCCGCCGCGACCCGTTGACTCTCACCGGGTCGCCGCCGGCGTTCGGCCGGACAGAGCCCGGGTCTCACGCGGTGTGCTTCCACCGGTCGGCGGAGAACCTCCGGTGTTGATGTTCCGGTCGGCTTGCAGGCGCCGATCTTGAGCTCTGACACCGTGAAGCAAAGGTGCGAACTTCGTTGGAAAACGTTGGACATATGACATATGGAGTCTCCCAGGGGAACATAGACCCAAACCCCATTGGCTTTTGGTGTCTCCCTATGAACAATACACACCCATCTGTTGGGAAACGCCTCCTTTCATCCGAAGGGTCGACCGTCACGCCTGTCACTCACGCCAGGTGTGAAAAGCGGTGGTTTTATGTCCGCTTTGGTGGGGACCCTCGGTGTCATCCCTCGGAGAGTTTCGAAGACGTTCGGTGCCTGACGTGCCTGACGCGCAGGTTTGTGCCATCTCGGGTGCCGCTCCAGAAGAGCCTGTCTTCTCACCCAAAACTGGGCGCCTGGGCGAGATTTGATCTGACTTGTGTGAAAGTAGGGAATCAGGGAATGAGGCTCCCAATAGAGATTCCTTGGATCCAGCCATCCTCATTCCCTACTTGTCGCACAAGTCAGTCATACGACCGCGACATGGCTGGGGCCAAACGGAGACTCCAAGTCGTGGGTTGGACTGGACCGACCTCTTCGTTCGCAAATAGAACAACACCGGACCTGCTTAGTGGACAGACACACTCGGGAAATGCGTTCGGAATTGATCGCTCCAAGCCCTGAAGAGGCCTAAGTGAAGGAATTGCATTGGGTAAAACATGTATAGTATGCAAGGTGATAGCCGAAGCAAAGGCCAGCGATTTGTTCTAGTGACCAAGGGGCCCAAAAGGAAGTAATTAAGTGGTGATCACAGCAAGTACGTCTGGCTGATCAGGCCAGATATCAGCACGGAGCTTGACCCTCTTCGTTGGATTACCAGTCAAGTCCGTGGGTGATCCCCCTGCATTGTAGAAAATATGACAGCACCAAAAGGCGACCTTTTGAATCCAAGGTGTTCACACTCTGACTCTGGTTTTCAGTTACACTCAGTTCCCACGTTGAGAAGGAAGGTGACAGAACTGCATGGCGAGAAGTCCAAGAACTTGTAGGTGCTTCAACAAAAATTGTTTCTCAAGTCTGCAGAAACGAGAGGCGCGCTGCGAGTCGGCTGCAAAGCTAAGCTGTAAAAACTCCGCGAGGTTTGGGGGAGGAAACGTGAAGGACCATGGAAACAAACCGATCGAATTGGACAGCTTGCTCAAAAGTTCATTTGGCAGGTACGTCCAGAAAGCGTCCTTTCTGGATTTCACGACTGGGCTATCACTGTCTTCGTTGGGCAGTGAGTGATAGCGGTCCACTGCCCCCCTGCCTTGTGGAGTAGTGGTGGTGGAAACAGTGGCATTGAACCCTTTGGTACAGGGGGTGACACACACACGGTGCCGCTTCGCGGCGCTCGTGTGAAACACCTCAATAGTCACTTAAAAAGCCTTAGAAACAAAAGAAAGGAAAGACAGAAAGAGCAGCGCTAAGAGGGCAAGAAGGAAAGGTAGGTGTAGAAAAAGTGAATACTTAGCCCTTGACGGGGGTAGGGAAACGAGCCTCAAGAGCAACCTAAAAAGCCTGAGAGAAAGCCCAACAAACGAAAAGCGCAAGAAGGAAAGCGGGGGGCAGGGAGGGGGTGTATGTTCATGTGTGTGTACATGTGTGTGTCTGAATACCTAGCACTCTAGAGTTACTGATTACTTAGCAGAAATGAATTAAATGCAATAGTTAGGGAGCGGGACTTTAGTCTTAGACCGCCCGGGTAGGATAGACTAGAACAGGGACAACAAAGGGAAAGGCGCCGACGCACAAGTGTGTCGAGTACCATTTCCCTGTGTTACCCTAATTAGGTCGGGATAAGAACGCGGTGGGGGGGGTAGGGAGACCTGCCTGAAGGGGGATGAGCCCGGCGGCTTGTCAAATCCCGTTTTTTGGCCCGGCGGCCGTGGAAGCAGTAAATTCAGTTAAGGTTGATCAAATGGTGAATTCCTGTGAAAGGTGGAAAAGGTCAGTTACACGATTTCCGGCATGAATTCAGCGCCCCAGTGACGGGGATCACACTCAGCACCCGAGTGGGACGGCTGAGCGAGACACACTCTGACTCTGGTTTTCAGTTACACTCAGTTCCCACGTTGAGAAGGAAGGTGACAGAACTGCATGGCGAGAAGTCCAAGAACTTGTAGGTGTTTCAACAAAAATTGTTTCTCAAGTCTGCAGAAACGAGAGGCGCGCTGCGAGTCGGCTGCAAACCTTGTGGAGTAGTGGTGGTGGAAACAGTGGCATTGAACCCTTTGGTACAGGGGGTGACACACACACATACACACACACGGCCCGGGGGTGGGCAGAAGTCCGTTCCACGATGAAGGTGCCGGCCGACACGGAGGTGAGACGGAGTCAAGAAAAAGATCCCGGTCTGAATTTCCACTAAAAAATCAAAGGGGCGTGCTGCAGGCTTATAGTTAAACCCTTTTTTCGCAGGAGATGATTAAATGTTTTGGGAGAGGATCACGGCTGGTCAAAATTGAGATCACGGTTTTATAGTAAACTGCGTTGTTCCAAAAGAAACAATTTCTCACAAACTTCTAGAAGACAAATTGACTTTATAAGGAAAAGTTGCCGGTGTAAAGTGTGGTTTTGATGTTATAGCACATGTTTTCCACATGGACAACTTAAAAGCTGATAGCTGTACAGCAAAGTGAGCTAGTACAACAATATGAAACTGATTTTATAAACACATTGAGTTTATAAAGAAATTCATGGCCACTTCTATATTTAGAGAAATTTTAACATATACTGTAGAGTGGTATTTGTGTAAACGCATTATTCATTGCATTCGTGTCTTTGATCCATTTGGTGTCTTTCCGATTTCTTTGTGGTGGCTGTTCAAACAAAAATCACTATAAAATCCCAGGGTAGAGTAACTCTGGCACACAGTTTTTGTAAATATGTTGTGGCTGTACAAACCTTTTATGGACCTGTGCACCCCATTACTATAGTGACTTCATTTGGCTGTCCTGTGAGCTAAGGATGTCAGGTTTGTTCCATATTATAGTTGTATTGATTTTATATAGTTTTCAGTGTGTATGCACGCTGCTGAAAATGACATTCTATAGTGTCACTCTACCCCCCAAACCCCAACCCTGCAGGTTAAGTGCTATAAGATGGGGGGACGAGTAACTATGTAAATTCCCGCGGGGATAAAGAAAATATATATGTCGTTCACTATGGTTGGGATAGGCGGGAGCATTACCACAAAAACCAAAACACCAAAAGGTGACCTCTGAACCCAAGGTGTTCACACACACGCCCCCCTCCGAGTGGGGGCAAAGGAAGGACTTGGAAGCCACCTCGACTAATTGTAGGCCATCGCTCTTAAGATGGAGGCCTTAGGATTGAGGCCTTCGCTCCTACATGGAAGCTATCGCTATTGGATGGAGGCCATATGTGCACGGGTGTGAAAACGGATAAAAAAGAGAAGACATGAGAAGAGGACAAGATCAGACAAGACAAAGGTATGTGGCTGCGACGAAAAGGAACCAAGTGCACAGGGACAACGGATGAGCCAGACCTCCTTACAACGACCTGGGCGACCTAAAACCTGGTTTACATGTACGAGTGCACCAGTAGGCCAAGGGCCCGACCAATGTGTGCGCAAAAGGGAAGAATAATGAAATGAAGGCAGAAAAGACTCGACGTGAAAAGAAAGAGGAAAGTAACTTGTAGGTGGGGGGATAGGAGAACAGAAACCAGCGCTGTGAGCGAGTGTATTTTTCAGTGTTTCTTATGCAGAGGAAAATCTAAAAGTTTTAAGTATTTCCCATGCACGGGAGAATATGTGAATACCAAAAATACCAAAGGCCCTTGGCTGGCATGAAACTGCCCCAAGCCCTGAAGAACCAGAAAGTGAAAAATATGAAACATTGCCTGGGAAATACAGGTCGTATGTAAGGTGATAGCCGAAGCAAAGGCCAGCGATTTGTTCGGCCGTGCCCAAAAGGAAGTGAGATCACCAAGTGCGACTGGTGGATCAGGCCTCCAACGAATGGAGCATCCGCCGGCAAATCCGTCCGTGGGTGATCCCCCTGCAGAATCCAATTTGTGTTCACACACACACACACATTGGCTCATCCGCCAGGGTGCTGACAAGGGAGCAAGCTAGAACTTAGACGACTTAGAAACCAAATGGTTGCGCGTGCAAATAAACCGCTGAGCGTGCGAACTCGTGCAAAGAATTGTTTGGTCACCCACCGCGTGTTGCGTGTTTGTTGGAATTGGTTCTCAATATTGTCCATGTGCAACACTGAGATTGTTGTACGCGAGTTTACGATCGCTGGAACTTTTGACGGTTTTGAGGCAAATCTATGAAAAACGGCTGATTGAGAAGCACATTTCGGAATCGGGAAAATGCCCGGTGACGAAAGAGGAACTTCAGCAGGCTTGGAATGGTGTGGAGTTTGTGTTTGCCAACCATTCGTGAGACTTTTTGTGCAGGAGGACCTTTGCGACATGAAGGTCAACAAGGTAGTCAAACCACGACCTGCATCAGCAACGTCCATTCCTGGCATGCTGACAGGGGCTGAGTTTGAATCAAGTGTTTGTAACAATTGTAAAGGATTCATGCATGAATGTATTCCAATGCATTCCAACCATTTTTTGCCAATGCTTACAGTCAGGCATACAGCATATAGGCATTGGCAGATATTCCACGTGATAAGGACCCTCTTGCAGAGCGAGTGGGATGCATTGATGTCTGAAACCTACGACCTGAAGACGCCACTGCCTCAAGTTTTGCGCTGAAAGTATTTTGTTAATCCGTTTCTTAATATCTTTGGTCTCAAGATAAAGAACACCCGCAAGTGCACGCAGCATGAGATTCTTATATAGATGTTTCGGTATTAAACAATATATATAGTGTTCATTGTTTCTGCCCACCAGTGGAATTTCAGACACCTTCCAGGATTCCAGACCTTCCACAATCTTCAAATCTGACTCTTCAGGAACCTGGACACGACTCGGAAGCAGCTCTCACATGCTCTCTACCAGCACGATGCTGCCTGTCGAGTCATCGCTCGACTGTTGAGAGAGCGGGATGCTGCTCGCTCACAGGCGACATTTCGGATGGTCGTCCAGGGCTAGGGTTGTGGCAAGTTGTAAAGAAAAATGGGGACATGAAAAGTGTAGATTTGACCTGGTTCCGGTTTTTCGAAGGTAAACAGGTAAGGTTAAAATGGTAGGTGAAGACTTCTGATATAGTAATACCCTAAGAGGTTCTATCCAAAGTTGCACGGCGGTACACTGAACACAGAAGCTGTCCCGGGATCGGCTTGTTCCTCCTTGCTGGTGGCTTTAGCCAAGCCGCCCCTGGCCTCGTCGCAAGGTGGCACAGCTGCAGGATCAGCTGAGCAACTCTCTCCCAACGAATGGCAGCGTTGAGATCCAAGAGGCCTTTGGAATGCCCGGGAGCATGCCGCTGTCGGAGCCGGGGAAGGGATGAAACGCTTTTTTGGAGTCAAAATGCCAAACAGACTGAGTGAGGGGCCGGATTCACGAAAGAAGCATTGGAAGTACAGTAGAGAAACGCTATAGATGTGGCTAGCAATGACTTCAATGCCTCTAAGACCTGTATCAACTTGTTGTGATTTGTTGTGATATATATATGACCGCGCTGTTGTGACAATCAAGTCGCCTGGGCAAGTGCTTATTGGAACGTTGCCTGGCCAGGGCGAAACGGGTCTTTCAAGCCAAATCGTTCAGAAGATGGAGGACAGAAATAGAGGCTCATGTCAGTCATGTCTCCCCACCTCACCTCGATCTTGGGATGTATATGGATCGATGTATAATACTGTATACTGCGTACGCTCCCATGTTCAGTTCAGTGGCAAGCTTTGCACCATCGAAGCTCCCTTCCGTGCTGTCATCGATCCCATGGAACTCGAGGAGCTCGCGCAGAACTTGGCCAAGACCCGCAAGCAGACCACCTCTCAGAAAAGACATTTGATCAGAAGAAGAACTTTCACTATCTTTCACTTCACTTGAGCACCTTCCGAGAGGAACAAACATGTGGCTGTGGGTTAAAACACCCGGACCCTTGAAGGTTGACCTTCTTTTAATCTATTCTGTTCACTTCCTGTGGTCAACCAGAGTCCCGGTTTCGACCCCCCCATGACCCCCCGTGCATCAGAGCTTTCAAGACTTCCCCGCGACGGGCGGGGGAAAAGAGAGCCTCATTTCAGGCGCAAGTTCCCGGAGCTAAGCCCGCTTGAGGAGGTCAAAAGGCGGACTGTGTCTTCACTGCGACAGACTCCGGTCTTGGACAGCTACCCGCTACCCTCCATGTTGGTATACATGTACATATCATGAATACGATTATAGTTGTAATCTTGTATTGAGCCTTAATGGGCCTCAACCCAATCTCAAGTGTTCAAGTGTATATATATAATATATATGAATTTCAAGTTGCCCAAACTTGCTGCAGGCTCAAATGTGTCCAGTCGCACTCGCTCCACCATTCTACTGCACCAGGGGTGCTTTGTGTTGATATCCACAAGGCGCGTTCAGCCGCTGAAGATTTTGCGTTGTAAAAAGGAGTTGTTCTATGCTTTTCTTGGACTCTTGGCTTGTCTTGGCTCACAGTTTTTCGAAAAAGGGCCCGCAATCATCGCCTCATGGTTTGCCGCAACGGACACGATGTGGAATGATGGAGCGATGTCACGGGCAGTCGATGTGAGAAGCATGCATTGGTATTCTCATTACCGCCACACAGTCTTCAACATGGTGCAATCGTGCTTTGAGGATGATGGCGCTGCAGGTGAGCAGCGTTCTATATAAATGCATCCTTTCTTTGTTTGTCAGGGACCAGCGAAAAATCAGTGAACATAGTGATTTTAGCTGATGTTTGTAAGGTGTCCGCAAGGTTTGCCGTAAGGATGTGCAGACTTGAACGATGCGCGCAAGGCTACGGGAATCCTTTCGTGTTTTGCAACAACATAATATCATATGTGACCCTAGCGGACTTGCATACCTCCGCCGTAAGCACAACGTAAGAATAGCCATGCATGTGTCACCGTGAGCAAAACATAGAAAAACGTAAGCTTTGCGTAAGGCTTACCTAAGGTTTGATTTCTCGGCAAGAAAAGACTGACAACACAATTTTGAACACCGCTCAGGGGTGATCCTCATTGGCATCCAGCCAACCCTGAAGAATACGATGACCTGCGCCGAGTGGCCCTGCATTATGCAGGACTTGCAGACAGCCTTTGAGGAGGAAAAGGCACCTTTTTACGATAAAGGTGAGCAGAAACTGAATTTCAGCCGAATCAACTTCAAGCGAATTTCGATTGAAGACCTTGGCGATGAGCTGGAGGTGAGCACGAGGCGCAATAAGCACGCAATCATCGCCTCGTGCTCGGAAGACCATTTTAAAGATGCAGCGGCAGCCATGAAGCTGCACAACAGCTCCACGCCAGCCGGCTGCGGGAAGGTCCGAAGGGCATGGGCGACTGCCGAGGACGTTTATGGTGGGCGAAACCATCCGCCAAAGGCGTGCGGATATGCGCCACAGGACGTGATGTCATTGAAGGCTGCACAAGCCGAGCCTGAAAGTCTATCAAAGGCTCCGAAGACTCTTGTTGGCGTGTCTGGCCTGTGCACATCCCTTTTCGATGTGACCCTGAGCAAAGAG